ACAAGAAAATTCATGTTTAGTAATTAAATTATTTGTCACTAAACTTTTATTTTTCATCATAAACAAAAATTAACGATGAAATTTAAATTATTAGTAAAACCTTTGTCACTAATACTCTTAGTAATAAATTTGACATCTGTTATAGAAAAGAATTTTGTAGTGATAAAAAAATCTACATTATTAATAAAAAAAATTTTTGTTACAATAATTTTCATCACAGATGTTACAATTGAGGGGTAAAAAAATAATCACAAATGCAATTGTGATAAAAAATTTAGTCAATAATTACTAATATTGATATTAAATTAAAAATGTATTTATATAATTACAACACAAATATTGTAACAAAAATTATGTCACAAAAAAATTTAATAAAAAAATATTATTATTTCAACACTAATCAATTTTAATTAATTTTAATCAAAATTGATTAAAATTAATTAGGCTCAAATTAAGCTCAAGTTTTATTGAATTTCATATGTTTTATAATGCAAAACTTTATTTTTTTATATATTTTTTATCGATGTGGGATATATTTAGTGTAAAACTTTATTTTTTTTTATGTATTTTTTATCGATGTGGGATGTATTGATTAGAGAAAACTTAAATAAGGTTGAATTATAGTGATGATTTTTATCATCACAAGTATTTATTCTTTTTGTGACAATTTTTAGTGCCGAAATATATTTTTAGTGACGAATTATTTGGTCATCATTAAATGTGTAAGTTATATGTGATCAATATTTAAAATTTATCTTAATTGAGATGAGTTGTAATGATGATTTTTATTGTTAAAAATTTATTTTTTATTTGTGATCATTTTTCAGTGATAAAATATTTTTTTAATGATAAATTTTTTTATCATTACTAAATACTTTTATATTTATAATTAATTTTTAAATTCTATCACAAATATAATAAATTATAGTGTTAATTTCAATATTGATCATAATTTTTTACCACTAAAAATCTAATTTCTTACGGTGACTTAAGCTTGTGACAAACAACTTAACAGTGGGGTTGCATTCGTGGACACAATTATTGAGGAGAGCAAGATGATTCTGGGTCCCCTCATGTACTGGCGTTTGAAAAACAGAGCCGGACATGTTCGGTGGGAGTTGGGATTGAAAATTGGGTAGCGCACGTGGGCATGGGAAAGCCTGTCCCTTATCTGTGAGTTTTTCCTTTTACCGTTCGCCTTGGGCTGTGGTTATACACTTATACCCACCTTTGTTTCTTTTAAGATAGTTAAAAAAGTATTAAAAAAGTATTAATTTAATTTAATTTAATTATTAAAAATCATTCATAATTAATAAAAT